CGAGTTCAACGAGTACGAGAGAGAAGTGCGAGGAGTGTGTTTCAACACATGTTAGAAAGAGATAGAAGGCGGCTGAAGACCAATGGCCATCACCATAATATTGTCTAGTATCGGTGACGCAGTAGGTCGTGTTGCCAATATGTTACACCAGAAAATGTTGGAACAGGCTGCTGCAATAGGTTAGGTTTCTGTCAAACCCAAGAACATCTAATTTAATATTTTGTTTTAATGGTCATTAGAATTATTTATTTTATTGGTGTTTTAATTTATTTTAGAATTAACTGTGATTTCCATCGATGCGGATAAAATCAACTCATCCTGGGTTATTGTTATATCTTGCAACAGTGCTGCGGAGGTTGGATACCTTGCCTTGGAAAGTATGAGATGCTGTGTTATCAAACGAACCAATGATGCGCCGTTGCAGAATTTGTGGCAATCCTGACATTCCATTCGACTTAAAATGGAGCGCAGTTATTACCGATCAGGAATCAAGGCTAATCGGATCCAGTATGGCGTCTATAAGAACAAATAAAGTTGATGCTGGAGGGCAAGATACGCAACATCATATGAAAATTCTTATGATGCCATCTTATAGAGGAGAAAAAGTGGCAACGTTAATGTGGAATTCATTTTAAAATCCCACTACCAATGAAGTCAAGAAAAAATTTGGAAAATCAGTTTTTTTCTATCTCTCTCCAGAAGTAGTTTGCATTTAAAAATTTTCTAATCCGGCATTTACGAGCACTTACCTAAATCCGCAACTTCGTTCCCATTAAGCGAGTTCGTATCTCTTACCGTTTCCGAGATTCCAGCAGTGCGGATCGAATTTGAAACTCCCGGCATAGATGCGTAAAATCAATGGAGCTCAAGGTGTATATACTGCTGCCAAAAAAGAAACCCAATTTTCGACACCTACAATTTTTTTTCTGAAAACTATCAAGAGCCTCTGAAACATCAAAAAAGGAGTCCTAAAATCTGCTTAGTGCGAATCCTGCATTGCGTGCGACCACACTTCGATCGACCTAAATCTGTCCTACTGGAGTAGCCATAACCATCACTTGACATCGACAAAACGTTTACCCCCATTTCTCAAAATATCCCTATTTTAGTACTCTCTGGCTTGCATCATTATCAGTTTCCTTTCACTGTACTTCACATCCAGCGGATCATAAAAATATGAAATATGTGTAGGTTACAGCTAAGCAGAGTATATTTTCCAGAGAGAAGCGTAAGAGATTACTGGAAAGGATGTGACTGGAAAGGCAACTAGCTATAATATTTCTACGGATAATAAAAGTTTCAAAGCTGCAGAGGAAAAACCTTAGCGATGGTCTCGTAAGAGCTGGATACGTTCATACGAACCATATGCGGTTTGAATTCAGCATGCAGAAAACAGTAGTTGGCACAATAAATCTGTAATTTCTTAATGGAAAATTTATCGAATGAACTTCTTCTGTGGAAATCTTTATAGCAAATATGGGGAAGGCAGAGAGGTCTTGGACGTTTGTAAGAAGTTAAACAGCTTCTCCTATCATGGAGTAGTGAAAAAGTGCCTCAGTAGAAAGTATTTGGAGTGCCTTGGATGACACTGGTTGATTACCAATAGATGGTCTATGCTTCTGACATCAAGGGTCGCCTTGGACTTACTGCTCAAACAATTTGATATACTCACTCAATTATTTATTAAGGCTATCGCTGCCTTTCAAAAAGCCTCTTCCCCGACTTATTTTTTAGGTAGCTGAAACTCAGGGTGCTGATAAATACCTACTATATTTTAATATAAAAATAGCATTTGAAGATTTCAATGTGGCGCCTGGGCGCCATCTTGTAGCATTTTTTCCAAAGAAAAGCTGGTCATCTTATTTTGAAGCTACTCATATGTAATACTTAACCCTAAAAATATAAAAGCCCTCTCTATCGAATTGGGGTATTGGCAGGCTGTCAAATTTAAGTGTTGACTTGGATTTAGCTGAACAACTTATCATTACAACGTTATATTGTAGTATGTTACATCAGTCTTCCACTTTTGGAGAATATACCTGAGTATATACAATACAAGATATTCAGTCTTGGAAAATTGATATACCTTGTCAATTTTTTCCAATGCACTATTTCATATTTCATAGTATTTTCGGATAGATACTTGTTATAGCGCTTTGATGATTGGTTGTTGCATTATAAGCGATTCACTGTACAACAAAATCCTTTTAAAGAAATATGAACAACCGGTACGGGTATTACGTAAAAAAACATATAAAATGTCATCTTGCAGACTAGTTAGTTTTAGCGTGCAAACAGTCATTCCATGTTTGCTCACTAGGATCATTGTGAGCGTCCATCTATGGAGGAATGACTCAACTACACGCATCATGGGTTGCATACTTTTGTGGAGCCGAGTAGTCTGCAGCTTTCAGCTCTGAGAAGAAAGGTGGTTGAATAGCAAGATAGCATCTGGATGATTGTGTGTATCGGTCTGCATGTGTATAAGATCAGTGATAGCTGTGTGGGAAAATCATTACTGAATATGGTGCCAATGAAGTATATCTATTAGCTGTGCCCGACGGGTTATTTATATGTTGTCCCTTCTGAAGAAAGGATATGTTCAAAGTATAAATTACGATTTTTTTGTGTCTTCAAAAATATTGAGGAGAATTAGGTAAGGCCAATCACCACCCGCCCGCGTTGTGTGTAATTACTGTTAGCATGTACGAGTATATGACCTGTAATTCGACAGTGTGGAGTAAATGTGATTATCTCTTTCATTTTTTAAATTCAGCAAATTTGCAGATGTAATTTCCAGAATGGATAAGAAAAAGTAGATGCGCAACTAATTTCTAGCTTTGAATCTCAAGTAAGTGTATTTGAGACAAGAATCCAATGGAATTATCATCAACACATACTATTAGCACACAAATCCTCACTATGCACCTGAGCATTGCCGTTTTCTTCTAGCTATATTATACAATTACAGCGTAGACCTCCAGTAATGCAACCTCTAAAGCGCGCTTTTAAATCACACTTAAGCCAAACATGGATAACTGAGGCATCATAACGTTTAGGCAACACGTACAACTACAAAACGAGTTCACAGCGTGTCCATCAGCTAGTGCTAAGTATGCGTCTTGTAGGGAAACCTACATAATGTCACAAAAAACTAATACAATGTCAAAAAAATAGACATAATGTCATCTTTCCAGATATCTAATACCCGTGCCGAGTGCAGTAACTGAAAAGAGTGTGCTATCAAGAGAAGTCTACGGGGCACCTCATAGTACATATGTCAAAATCGATCGAGCGGTTCAAGGTGTAGACCGTGAAATAACAATTTCAAGGTTGAATCTTCTTCACTAAAATACGCCATTTTTTTTCATTAGATTTTTGTATACCCACTAGGGTGGGTCAAAAAATTTTTTTTTCGGTTTTGAAAAAGGCTCAGTAATAAAAAGGTGCCAAATGGTGCCGTTAGTTCATATGTAAAATTTTATTACATAATTCTGAGTTTTATTGCCTCCGGATTGTACTAAAGCATTGTGTATACGTAAACTTCTAGCGTCTCCTCGGGCGTCACTTTACTAATTCTTTATGCATCTTCGATTATGGTTCCTGTTACTTTGGTTGCCTAAGCGTTAGTGTTAGCTACTGTTTGGTTGAGTTCAAGTAGCCAGGGAGAGGGAGGGGTAAGAGTGGGGGTGTTAGGTAAGACACACGGGTAAGACAAGTCGCGCACAGTTCATCGCAATCAGTATCTTGCGTTAGAAAGTGCGGACGTGTATCGTGTAAGTTTCGCTGTCAGAAAAATGGAACGTACTCGAAATAGTTGGAAGTGTCCGATATTTGGTGATTTAAATGACTTGAAAGACAACGTATTGCCAACCTATGGGGATGTAATGCGATTTTATGAGTGGACCCGACACAGGTTGAAATACGAGAGAGAAAGAAATAAAGAGCCAACATATAAAGAAATAGAGGCCATTGTAGTTGCAAGACTGATAGAAATATGGGCAAAATCCTCTATCCCTACAGTTGAACCCAAACGAATGAAGGTAATGTTACAAACGTATCACTTAAAATGCAAAAATCTCCTCAAATCTAATCCAAGAATACCTAAAAACACGTTGGAAGGGTTTCGTCTTGGGAGTAAAGCCTTGTTGATATTGCGGCTTGCAAGTGTCAAGAGTTTCTCAAATGTGCTTGCCCGAAAAACAAGAAAATACCTGCAGAGAACGTGGCTTTATAACTGATCAACGAACCGCTAGGCAAATGGTGATAGGTGCCTTAGATGTTGTCACAACTACAAAAATTACAAAACACTGAAAAGGAAGTCAATACGAGAAAATTCTAAGAGCAAACGACTGAAAAAACCGAAACATGTACGGAAAAGCTGAGTAGCACTTCTGAATCCGAAAGTGTTCAGTCCGATGCTGAAGAACCAACACAAATCAAGTTGAGGACTTCAAGTGGTCAATCTAAGAGTGACACTAGACTTGATTATACTTTGCTATCAAAAACATGCGATAGATTCGGAGTGTCGGATAGGGCAGGAGCAGCTATCGCATCAGTTTTCTACATGCGTCGGGTTCTCAAGTAATAGATAAAAAAAACTACGCCCAGAACGAAAAAAGGCCAGAGAAAATATAGTTTCACAGCAAACTGTTTCACAAATACACGCATTGTATTTTGACGGAAGAAAAGATCAGACTCTAATGATGTCTGAAATAGAAGGAAAAAACTATAGAAAACGCATAGTTGAAGAGCACATTTCTTTGATAAAAGAACCTTATTCGGAGTTTTTAGGCTATATTACACCTGCTTCAGGCACTGCAAAGTGTATAGCAAATGAAATATTTGACTTTTTCTTGAATGCTGATATATCCGTCGATGATTTAACTGCAATTGGATGTGATGGAACTAATGTGAATGTTGGCATATATGGCGGTATTATACGACTGCTAGAGAAACGGTTAGGTAGACCCTTACAATTGATTATTTGTTTATTCCATATGAATGAACTACCATTTAGACATCTGTTCCAATATACCTCTGGACCACGAACATTTTCAGGAACGATTGGCAAAGATCTCGAGAACTGCGAAAAAAGACCTATAAGCAAGTTTAAGCCTATTCCAACGAGCTTACCGGAGCTTTCTGCTAAAGATATCAGTACTGACCAAAAATACTTGTACAGAATGGTTGAAGCAATCTCAACCGGTGTATTTCCTAGCGATTTGGCTAATAAATCACCAGGTAAAATGTCGCATGCGAGGTGGCTGACTCGTGCGAACAGGATCCTCCGTCTGTATGTTTCTGTAGAGACTCCGCCTGAAAGTCTAACTATTCTTGCAACGTATGTTATCAAGGTTTATGCTCCGATATGGTTTTCTATAAAATCTCATTCTAGCTGTAAAGATGGATCGCGACACTTTTTCAAACTCATCGAGTTATCCAGATATTTACCAGCAAATTTGAAATCTATCGTCGATCCAGTAATTCAAAGAAACAGCTATTTCGCACATCCGGAAAACGTATTGCTCGCAATGTTAACAGACTCTCAGCCGCACATTCGTGAATTAGCTGCACGACGCATTTTGAAAGCTAGATCAGTAACAATTAAAGATTTGCGCATTTTTAAGTTACCACAGATTAACTTCAATGCATCAACGTATTATGATCTTTTGAATTGGCAAGAAGATATCTCTGAGCCACCATTATTGAAATCTGTAACCGAAAAATCTCCGATTATTTATTGAACAGAAAGGAGAAAGAGACTTGGATTTCTTACGCCTTCCTTGTCACACACAAGCAGTAGACAGAGCAGTCAAAGCTGTAACCGAGGCCTCAACCACTTTGTGCAATAAGCTAATGAGAGAGGGATTCATCAAAGCCCAGATGGACTCGAGAAAAGCAATGCCAAAATTTGATAGCAAAAAGGATTTCTCTACAAAAATAAACCCCTCGCCAATGATTATTCATTATTATTTTTGTTGTAAAATTATTTTCTGTTCAATAAACGTTTACTTACTATTCATTCAAGACATTTATTTGTAAATTATATTCATTAGTGTGACTTTGTATGCACGCAGTTATACCTCCTGTAACCCCATCTTTGACAATTTCCACATGATTCCGGAGGCAGAAGATTAATTGATTGCAATCAAACTTCATACATGTTCACACTCATGATTTAGCACCTTTTTGTCACTGAGCTTATGAAAAAAGGAACATTTTTTTTCACCATATAAAGACCCACCCTAATACCCACTGCCACTCGCACTGCCAGGAAAAACCTAAACACCCTCGTATCAAAAAATTCATCAAGACATTTAACCTGTGGTCCCTTTTCGTCAGAATCCAAAAAATTATTTTCATAGAATTTTATTGTCGCCAGTATCGCTGTCACTGCTAATACGAGTCCAACAACACTTTAGATGTAATAATTTATCAACACGTTAAGCTGTAGAATGAAATAAAATTTTATGGTTTGATTTTTCTATAAAATCCCTTATCTTGTCACTCGCTTAGATGAATCCAATGACGTCTCATGTGTCAAAATCCGTCAAGCCGGTTGGCCTATACCGCGTACATAGAATTTGTAGATACATCAATTCGCACGAAAAAAACATCCCGCCTTCTGAGGCAGTCGGATAACACAAATTTGGCAGCCTGCCAGTTCGCCACCTACCTAAGATAGTAATTTTATCTATGGGCTATAAAGTAACCGTAAGGAGTTTCACAATGGGGTACGATAACTTGTTCCATTAAAGTAAATGTTCCAAAGTGGCGCCCCACTACCAACTGTCTCTTTCGCGCCGAAAATAGGATTCATTACTCCAAATTTCAGCCTCACTTGATCCGCTGAAAAAGCAATTAGTTAAGACTTTTTCAAAGCACTGTATATGTACATTATATAAAAGGCTGCTCCTATAAAAACTTACGTAATATTATGATATATGTCAGATCTCAGGCAATCTTAGCAGACCGCCCACAAACTTCCTCTTCAGTTGTTACAAGTCACCCGTATGAGTGTGTTTTTCTGATCGACAAATGAAACCGTAAATATATATATATATAATATATATATATATATGAGCGTAGTCATTGCCAAGCCAACGACCAGTTGGGTATAAATTACAATCTGTTAATTGGGAAATTGGCAAAACTCTTAGGCTTAAGTTGAGTCTTTTGACGATAAAATCAAGCTTTCGGCATTCTCTATGGAGCCTTCATCAGGATTTTGAAAACACAATTGTGATGCTAGCAAAGAAAACAGGACAGATTTAAATTGTCAGACAACTTACTCGTCGTGAGTTGCAGCCACAAGGTGTTTCAGAACCGACGTAGAGAAGATCGAACTTATAATCAGTATAAAAACAAAAAGGACGGGGACATTGGGTTTGTTGTAAACGACAGATACCTTCGTTAAATGTTAAAAATATCAATCCACCCGAACAAGTTAAAAATATTACACGTGAGACGACATTTTGTTGAAACAATGGGAATGCAGTATCTAACCTTCTGTTTCCTCCGCAGACACGTGGAGAGTGGGCGGCACGGAAAGATAATGCGTCAACAGATTACATGATGACGCGACGGGCCGTGGAAACTGTACACCTCTTCTCCACCTCTCTCTCCAGCTTTGGGTATGAAGTATACGAGGGACGCTCGGTAAACCTCCACCCAAAATTTACTAAATTGCTGAATTAACTTGTCTTGGGAAAAAATTGTGTAGTTCATATGAGTGTAAGATGTGTATATTGATCAACCTTGAAAAGATGGGTTATGTGAGTTTGTATTAAAAATGTGAGAGAAAATGTATTCCAATTTACGGGTACGTAACGTTCGTTCGAAACACCTTGTGGCTGCAACCTCACCCGACGAGTAAGTTGTCTGACAATTTAAATCTGTCCTGTTTTCTTTGCTAGCATCACAATTGTGTTTTCAGAATCCTGATGAAGGCTCCATAGAGAATGCCGAAAGCTGATTTTATCGTCAAAAGAGTCAACTTAAGCCTAAGAGTTTTGCCAATTTCCCCAATTAACAATTAAATCTATAATATATACTTGAGCGTGGTCATTGTCGTCTAGACCAGTTAGGTGAAAAATTAAAGCTTCCGCCTTTTGTTGGGTACTTCGACAAATTTAAGCAAAGAGGACTCTTTATACTTTTTTGATTCTCTCTAGCTTTCAATGGACTTTGCCATCATCATCAGGACTGCAATTACAATGATAACAGTAGCAACAAAAGTGTAAAATGAATTTAAATTGACTCAACTTACAGTAGTATGTGAGATGTTGCTAATTGTTGTTTACGTAGGAGGGGAAACGTCCAGTAACATGGTGAGAGCTGGATAGATGGTACATGGTCAAATATACAAAATATGACAAGACAAGTAAAAACAGATTAAAAATTATTTAAAAAACAAGGCTTCATCCTAAAAGATGCGCTCTAGCATCTCATGTTAACACAACAGGGCTTCTATGAATTACACAGTATCAAAGTTCTTGATAAAGAATAACACTTTCCAACGTTTTATTCCTGGAAATGTCCACATTTTCATGAATAACAACTGTATCAACAAAAACAGATGTTAAACAACTGAGTGTCATTTACATATTTGCTAAACTGCGAAAAATTTGAGAACTTACATATCTCCCCAAATTTCGACTTTTCACAACCATAAATATAATCTGTGTTTGGCCGATTCCACCAACAAATTCATTCCACTCAAAATCTAATAATTCTCTTCTCACGATTTATTAACAATTGTTAATTTAAATTCCCATTAATTAAAATATAGTTTATTCAACTGCCTCTGGTCGGTTTTAACAATTTCTTACATAACATTCTGAAATCACATCATCTGAAGTGATTTGGCAACGTTTGGCACACGCCCACAATTCGTTCCATCTTTCAACACAGACATTGACAACCTTCGACCTTCTGTCAAAGGTTCATCTCACTCATTATTCCATGACCACCATTTTGTGCAATCATCAAGTGGCTTCACGATGTAATGCTCTAATGTTTTTTAAATAATTTTTAATCTGTTTTTAACTTGTCTTGTCATATTTTATATAATTTTTGACCATTGTACCATCTATCCAGCTCTCACCATGTTACTGGACGTTTCCCTCATCCTATACGTAAACAACAATTAGTAACATCCTCACATATTACTGTAAGTTGAGTCAATTTAAATTCATTTTACACTTTTGTTGCTACTGTTATCATTGTAATTGCAGCTCCTGATGATGATGGCAAAGTCATTGAAAGCTAGAGAGAATTAAAAAAAGTATAAAGAGTCCTCTTGCTTAAATTTGTCGAAGTACCCAACAAAAGGCGGAAGATTTAATTTTCACCTATATAATATATATATATTAAGGTATTGCTAGTTCTTGATTTGTATCTGGAAACTTCCATCAGGTGAACCGCTAGCGAACTGTCAATCTAACGTATGAGTAGATGTCTTATGGGGTCTCGATCTCAGTAGTTCCAAAATCCGCCACCAGAGGCGCTGGCGTCGCGCGCCATTGACAGGTTGTTGGACGGAATCTGTAATCGAAATTCAGTTGGGATCCGCCGCTAGATGGCGCTGTCAAACCAAACGGAATCTGTGTGCATTGGACACCTGTCATGCGTCATTGGGCATCTCACGCATAGATGGCGTTACACGTCCTCTGTCATACGTCATTGGACACCTGTCATT